TTCTTGTTTTTATACTTGTTTGTTTTTATTCTTATTCTTATTTTTATTCTTACTCTTATTTATTTGCACATGTTTTTATCATTATTCTTGTTCTTATTTTAATTCTTATTGTTATCCCTTTTCTTATTCTTGTTTTTATTCTTAGTCTTGTTTTTATTTTTATTCTCATTTGTTTTTATCTACTAAATAATTACTCTTGAATATTCCTCATTCTAAACATTAAAACTAAAGTTTATTAAAATTTTATTAATATTTATGGAACATACTACTTCTATTCCAAGGCCCTGTTTTTTGTGTTTTGTTTGTCTTTCTGTTAGCAAAATATTTCATAAACCAATGATGGATTTTAATGAAACTCTATGTAGTAAAAACCAAAGTGATGATTGTGATCAATATGTCTTATGTGTTTACCAGTTGGATGCTCATTATCCAGTTTATGAYCATTTCCACTGAACAACAGCACAGTTTTTTGTTCTCCAAGGCTCAGTCTTTATAAACTCATCTGCCATGTTTGTTTGTCTTGCAGGACTCGGGATTGTTCTGATGGGATTTGGGTTGTTTTTTCTGCTCTTTGGTGTTCTGCTGTACTTTGACTCTGTCTTGTTAGCCTTTGGGAATGTGAGTAATTTTTCTTGCTTATTTGTCACCAAATTAAGAAGTTAACTCTTTTCTTAAATTATAATACTTGTAAACAAATTAGCATGTATGGCGCAAGATGCTGAAATATTCTCAGTTTTCAGACAAATACACTTAGTTAAATGTGCAAAACTGTTTCCAGTGATAAGATTTTTTCCCCAATAATGACACAAACTGATGTCTGTTACATCAGACTTAAAACTTTCACAACGTGTCACAAAATGCACACAGCTGCCTCCTACAGAGAAAGAATAAAAAAGGTATAATAATATAATGATGGACATGATCAATTGGAGTTTGGAGTAGCACCAAATTTGAACTCAGTGTTTTTAAAATTCTCTGAGGTGCAGCCAGTTTTTGTTGGATTAATTGTTACAATGTTGATTTGTTTGTGAGGATGWGTGTTCTTTTGTCTTGTGTCATACCTCCCTCTTGTGTTCCCTCGCTGTCATTACGTCTCTTTTCCCTCAGCTGCTCAACCAGTCATTTCCTCCGGTCACTCTCACCTGTCAGTAGCTAATCAGTATCTTCTCAGCTGTTGTCCATCTCCTCATTCCCTCTGTTGATGATCTGGCTCCGTTCTCCACACCCTCACTGGTTCATTGTTTGATTCACATCAACTGTTGTGGTTCCTTGTYGTCCCCTGAGTTTCTTGTTGATTTTGCTGCCACGTCAGCCTTTTGTTTATTTAATAAATCGTTTTTGTTATAACTCCTCTCCTTCTGGATCTGGGTTCATTCCTTCGCTCACCCTATCATTTGTGTTGAGTCCAGATGTCAATCAGTCAGGTTATTACTTTCTAAATGTTACAATAAACTCTGTCCTGTGGTTAATAAGTTATTTTGTTTTGAGTTTGTTTCAAGAGGTAATGTGAAAGAGAACAGAACTATTTTCCTACAGTCGAAGTTAGATTTGAATAAATCAGGACCAAACTGATGGTTTCAGATTGGTTTCAGTAGGACTCATGTTTGGATCTCGTCTCTGTAGATTCTGTTCTTGGCGGGTTTGTTGTTTCTAACCGGCCTCACGAGGACAGCTCAGTTCTTCTTCCAAAGGCAGAAGTTTCGAGGAACGCTTTTCTTTCTGGGAGGAGTTTCTTTAATACTCTGTCGCTGGCCAATCATTGGAATGATTGTGGAGAGTTATGGATTTTTGCTTCTATTCCGGTAAGTGCTGGTATTTTTCTATCTAATATTGATGTAAGTGAAAACACTTGTTTCATTTAGAAACAGTGAAATTTCACTCCCAAAGCAGCAAGAAATGAACTGAACCTTTGTTTGTGAGCTGCTTCACTCAGGTGATTCAACAGATCATCAGCATCCTCCTCTGTCACACCAACCCTCTGCATCATCCTCTTCCATACATTTAATAAACTTCTCTGTGGTTTCATCTTTATTCCTCCCTGACAGCTTCATGATCAGCATCTGTTGCTCAATTTATCAACCATCCTGACATTTGACATGTTCAAACCATCTCAGCTTTGCCTCTTTAGCTTTGTCTCCAAACCTGAGCTGTCCCTCTGATACAACCATGATATTCTCTTCAGGTATTGTTAAAGGGATCCACAATTAGTTGTAACATTAGACTTTATTTGATAAACATATATTTTAACTTTAAAATAAAGACTGTAAAAATACTGTAGAATGTTTAGTTTTTGTCATTTTTAAACTAAAAGTTTAAAAATATATTACACAGATGAGGCCATTTTATTT